GGAAGGTGGGGCTGGGGGCTAGAGCACTCACATCAAATATCTGGGGCATTTGGGAAAAATAGAAGTGGGCCTGGTCTCGGTTGAAACGCTGTAGTTGGGCTGCATACTCATTTTTGCTTTCTTCTGCCATATGACTCCGAATGTGGGCTTGTTGCTTGGCCTGAGGAATATGGAGGTGGATGTCACTGGCAGGTTCTGGCCCCATCCCACCCTGACCCCCACGCCTGTCCCAGCCCACAGGCACCTTCTCCACATCTGCCTTGGTGGCGTTGATATCCTGGTCTAGGCGCTCTGCAGTCTGGGCTGCCTTCTCGGCCTCCCGGCAGTCCCGCTCAAATTTACGCTTACTCTGTGTGGGGGACAGAACCGGAATGAAGAAGCCACCATTCCTGATGGCAGGGGATATGGGAAACCAAGATTCAGGGACTGGCAGCAAGTCACTCAGTAAATGGGCATGGGGGTGGGGACGCACAGGGGAGGGGGAGGGTCCTGGCCAGACAAAGGGGACAGCTCTGTAGGTCAGCAACACTCGCCCTGCTCCCCGGGACCAGAGCCACCCTCTACACCCACAAACTCACATTCTCCAGCTGTTTGAAGCCACTTTCCAGCTGCTGCTGGGCCCGACGGCCCTCTTGGAAGTGCTGTGGAAAGAGGGGGAATGGGCTCACCTGGGCTGCAGCAGAGACCCTCCGAAAAACCCAGGGCAGGGGCTACTCACCATCTTTCTTTCCTGTTTCATCTCCTGCGAGTACTTGGTCAGCTCAAGACACACGCGGATGCTGAGGTTTTCAGCCACCAGCTCTCGCTGGCCTGCAAAGTCATTTACCTCCTGGAGAATCTGCACAAAGGACTGCTGCTGGCTGAACCTGGGGAGGGGTGGGAGAGGGCAGGGAGCCAGGGGCCAGGACCCCAGGAGCCAGATGCCCCAGGACCCGCCTCCGCATGAAAAAGGGTAAGCCCGAGACATTCACCCTGGAAACCCACATGGACCAATCCTGGCCCATATCCCGTACCCCTAACCCTTGAGTGGGATGCATTTCGGACCTCAGAATCTTCCAGGTTTTAGAAGGAGATACAATGCTTATATCATCTTTTGTGCATCACCCCAGTGGGGTCAGGGGCAACATCCTATAATCAAATACTATAAGCATTTTTGCAGTGGGGAGTATTAATATTCACAACGAGTGGGATAAAAACCAAGCCCATAATTAACATGATCAACATCAAGTCACTTAAGGTCAGAGGTTACCTCTAAATAAGTTACCAGAAAAACTTCTGATTTCTAGAACTTCTCAGATTCTGGAACAGGATACCCGGAATAAAGTGAAATGCTCCTATATACTATAGGGGCTGGGTGCTGTTTTAACACATTATCTCAGTTACCTTCACGTGAGCCCTACGAGTTCATCGTCATCATGCCCATTTCACAGATGAGAAAAACAGAGGCACAAACTTAAGCCACTTGCCCAGAGTCAGTCATGTGATAACTGCTGGTGCCTCGTCCATGTAACAGATGGGGGAGGGGGGAACGGAGGCAGAGAACGCGAGTGAATCGCCCCAGCGGCTCCGCAGGAAAGGAGCGGAATGATGCTCTGGAGCCTGCGCCTATGCTCTCAACGCCAAGTGGGAACTGAGGGACCTGACTGAGTGACCCAGCTGAGGGAGAAAAAGTGGGACCAGTGCCCCCTGAACCCCAAATCTAGCCCTGTACCCCTCACCATCCTTACTTGAATTCGGGGTCATCTTTGGCAGGTCTCTTGGGCAGATATTTTTTCACCAGGCTTCTAAGGGGAGAGAGAGGCAGGAGAGCTGAGCCCCCGGTCTCCTGACCGCACTCCCCAGCCCCAAGGCCCGACCACCCCAGAGTCTCACCGCAGCTGCTTCGCATAAGCCTGTTCCACCTCTGTTCGCTCTTTCACGAACTTCACATATCTGTCCAACAGGTCCAGCCCCCACTGCGTGTGCCGCTCGATCACCTCAAATTGATCCTGGCGAAGGGGGCGACGGGGGAGGACCGGCGTCAAGATCTTGGGACCCCACAGCCAGGCGACCAGACACCCGGGGAGCCTCGAGGCTCCGAGCTCCGAGAAAAGAGTGACTTCCCGGCCCCGCCCCCGCGCGGGGAAAGGCAGGAAACCGGCGGGAACCCCCTCCCCTTCCCGGGAAGGGCAAGGGAACAGGGGCGGGGCCCCGGCCGGACGACAGGGTCCCCGTCTCTGGACGGCCAAGAGGGGTGTAGAGCACGGCGGGGCCACTCCCCTTGCTTCGACTCCCCTAATCCCCCCCAGATTCCGGAAAATCCGGCCGGCCCGGCGTGAGTCAGGGCTAAAGGGGCAGGGTTCCCCGCAGCTTGGGGGGCCCCGGAACGGTCAAGGCGCAGAAACGAAGTTCCCCGGGGTCGCCATGCTCCCCTGAGTACCCCATGGGTGTCTCAGTTTCCCCCACTGACTTCACTGCACCTCCAAAAGAAATCTCAGAGTTGAGGAGGGGAACGATCTAGTTACCCCGCTGCACGGGGGAGCTCAGGGGTGCCACCACTTCCAGAAAGAGGAGGGGTCGAAGGTCCCGTCAAGGATAGGGGGAAATTCCTGGGGCTTCCAGAGCTGAGGTTAGAGGCGGTCTGGGGGCGGCCCCTCCCAGTGCCTGGAACCGGCTGGAGAAGGAGGCCGAGCCTCGCAGCCCCCTCCCCCACCAGAGCGTCCCAAGCCCCTAGGTGTTGATTGGAGGGGACAGAAAGGGCGGTCAGGACTTCTGGGTCCCACGTGGGGTTGAAAGTGGCCAGAGGGTCCCCTCCCCCCTACCAGCCGGACAGGCGGCTGGCGGGCAGGGACCCAGGGGCCGTAAGATTAGCCGCCGGCCCAGCCAGGGCGCTCAAAATAGGTGACCTCGCCCGGCCGTCCGGGCCTGGTCTCAGGACTTCTGTCCTACCTCACTCTGAACCCCGTGCCTCAGTTTCCTTACGCCGCACCTGCAAGGTCGCCCTTTGCTCCCGGGCGTCCCGAGAGCCCCGGGAAACTCAGAGAGGGCGGGGCGGGGACTCCAGTGATGCGTGGAAGGGAAAGCGTGGAGCCCCCGCTAAGGAACTGCAGGGGAGAAATGGGGCGTCTGAACCCAGTAAGGGAGGAACACGGAGCCAAGCCGACTGAACTCACCCACAGCTCGGTGCCCCAATCCATGCTGCTCCCGCCGAGGCCGCCGCGCCCGGTCGCCGTCGCCCGCCACCCGCCGCGGGGAGACTGCCCAAGGCGGCGCGCCCGGCCCCGCCTACTCACGGCTAGGCCACGCCCCTTCAGGCTTTGTCACGCCCCCCGCCCGCGCGAAGCCTCTAAACGACACCCTGAAGGCGGGGCCTCAAGGAGGCAGGCCCAACAGACGCCCCGCCCCCTCTTAAAGGAACGTTGCCGCCCCATGCCACTAGACAGACCCCTTAAAGGACCCCGACTCATTTTCCAAATTCCCCGGACCCCGCCTATCCTCCTCACCACTGCCCCATCCCGGACTGTGCTTCCTTTCCTCTTTATCTTCAACCATTCCTTAAAGGATCAAGGAAACCCCACCCAAGAGGTCCTCCCCCCATCCCTACGCAGGGAGAACCTGAGGTCACTCAGCTCTTGCGCGCCGGCCCAGTTCCAGACGTCTACGCTCGTCCCACTAATGGTCTAGTCCCTCCGGCCACAGGGCGGATAGGTGGACTTCGATCCTGTCCAGGACGTGCCTCTGCCAAGGCCGGGTCCATTACCGCCCCCACCGCATCCTGCCTTTCTTCCCCTAAAATCAGCACCGGGAAACTGAGGACAGGCCGTCCTTGGAGAGCCAGGCCCAGGCCTTTCTGCGGCTCCCGTCCAGTTGGTGCTTGCACCTGCCCATTTAACAGTCGCGTTTATCAAGACCCAATCAGGGACCCGGGGATTTCGACTCCGCCCCTTCCTTCAGACACCCGGGGCCTGGGGCTTGGAAGTCTTTCGGCTCCCTCATAAGTCTGTTAACACACTGTTAAACTATTTGAGGCGCTGGGACAAAAGAGGGGAGATCCCAGCAACTCCCACACTCATCCTCTCCTCCTTTGGTGCTTTCTCTGCGAAAGCACCAAAGGAGGAGAGGATGATAGAGGTGATAGATGCCCTCGGCTAGGGGCCCTGGCCCCAGGGACAAGTTAGGCACTGAGCACTCAGGCTCCCAGTACACACACCGAGGAGCCCATACTGGGCCCGATGGCTCTGCGGGGACCTGGCCCCACCTGCTGGTGGCTTCTGAGCTAGCAAACCTCAAGTTGCAAAGTGGGCTGTGCTCCAGAGTTTGGGGGACCAGATGAATCAGGGGCTCAGGACTGGAGTCTGGACTCAGTAGCTCAGCCTGGGAGTAGGGTCACGACTCTAGTCTCGAACTCATATTGGAGCCTGGGATTAGGGTCACAACTCCAGTCTCGAACTCATATTGGAACTGGGACTCATGCCAGGTCGGGGCCAAAGTTGGGGTGGCAGGCTTAGCAGAGGGGTCAGCAGTTGGGGGTCTAGGACTCAAACTAGGGTCCAGGGATCAGGCCTTGTCTTGTCTGGGGTCATGGCTCAGTCCAGGTAGGAGGCCCAACCAAAGATGAAGGCTCAGTGTAGGTCAAGGGTCAGAAGGACGAGGGACTTT